GTACGAAAAACTTGCATTAATTATGAATCAACCTAATATTTTGAGAGTTCGAGTTTCCGAAGAAAAATTGATATTTTCATGAAAAGCCACTTGAGTGCCTTCCAGGTTTGCGGGAACCAAGCTGGTAGAACTCATATAGAAGATCTTACCCGTGAGCATTGCTACCCAGTCATTCAACGCTTTTGCAGGTGGCTTCAATGTTGCAAACTCTGCTAGCACGAGCGAGATTCCACCAAGCTGGACAATCTAAAATCATAGCTAATTATTCTAAATTTTTACCTTTTGAAAGTGGGGTGATTATCACCAAGTTTTCTTGTGCGTCTGTGTACATTTATATTTCCTATTATTTTCGATGTTCCACTGACTATTCCGACTAATTTTTGACTCGCTAACCTCGACTGACGTTTCTGCGTCCTCGGCAAGCTGAGCTAATGACCATGCAACATGCCATTGTAGGCGTGAATTTTTTATGGATAACAGCCTCGAATAGCGAGATTAACAAATAGCACAAAATTAAGTAATTTAAGGCACACTCACCCTACTAGGATAGGCACTCCATCATAAATCCGAATCTGTTCTCGAGCTTGTTCCTCACACGACAGGATTCGGAGAAGGCTTACGCAAAGTCTAAAACGCGATTAATTTGAATACGGAAGTTGAACCGTTTTTTAGGTTTCATTTATGCCTTTTTAAGGCTGCTATAATCTTGATAATCGACGGAAGTATTCTGTTTTTCTATAGAGGACCCACTTTTGTGCCAACAGATCTCCTTGTGGAATTAGTTGTAAACATATATCGATAGCAGTCGTGGCGCAGAGCTCCACCCGACATACCGCTGACCAATCTGCCAATCTTCCCAGTATCTGAAACAATTATTACCGATTCGTTTGTTAGCTAATTGGTAGATATTTTTTGACACTGTCAATGCACAAGCGCATCGCAGCAGTGTTTAGCTGTCTGCGTATCTCCTCTCTGCGTTCTCTCTCTCTTCACGGTAAGCGTCGATTTTGGGGCGCGTGATGCGTCTCATGCCTCTGCGTTGGTGACTCACCTACTTTTGAGCCAAATTTTGACTTACCTCGAGCGCTGCTTGCTGAATAGCCATATCTCGACAGCTAAGAAAGCGCAGCATGCATTTGGCCAAATGTACCCGAACAAACATCGACGCTGTCTCAGCATCATGAATTAGCTTTTGTGTAACATCTGAAACATCAAAATTGAGTTCTTAGAAAGTATATCGAATTAACTTACTGAGGAGTAGTCCTGCAGCCTGAGCATATTCTGTCTCATAGTTGAGGAAATTTCTAGAGAGGTAACCAGCAAACTATAAAGAAGGACTAAAGTTTCTGAACTGCAAAATTGTTGTGTTAACCGTACCTGTACATAATTGTGATGTTCTTTGACAGAATGAAAAACGTTGATACATCCACGATCACGGAAAAGAGTACGGGCTAATCGTAGCACTTGCGATACTGATTTACGATTCGGGCAAGATGCTGTCCATTTTCTGCAATAAGCAGCCTAAGCTTCACTTTGAGACTGCAGATCTTTATCAATACATTAATGTACTGCTAATATGTTTACTACTTTTAGCTACGGTTTTTACAGCTTTTCGCATTCCAGAATTTTAGATTCCAAAGTGTTCGATTTGTCAAGGGATTTGGGGGGTCGATAATTCTTATTACTCATGTCTCATAGTTATACTAGTATT